ATGTTCAAAATATTATACAAATCATCTGTTATCCTCGGTATTATTCTCAAAGACAATATGTTCGATTCCAAGAGATACAGTGACGATTGAAATATCTCCTCAGAATATTCTTCAACACGTTTTAAAAAATTACTTGTGCTCTACAGTAACAAATGTAGCGTTATATGAACGTACCGAGGATCATAGTGGTAAGACATTTTTAGAATCTATTGGAAAACTTTACAATGCAGGATTGCAACCACAGATTGCAAATCTCTATCCGAAAGTAGACTTTCCTGTAAGCCGTGGTACCCCAATGATTTCTCCTCTCATAAGGTATGTATACTTTGTATTTATGTACGTATAAGTAAACAAAGAGCCGAGCAACAAAAACTTTTATGAATTTTTATAAACTTTGCAACATTTAAGTAAAGTATTTAATTTAAGGTAGTTTTTGATCGCGACAGTACTATTAAAATGTATAGTTCTACAATCAACAGAAAGTCGAATATCTCCTTGTTGACATGTGCAAATTTTTGGTTAAGGATGTTTGTAGACAGTAGACTGCACATGTATGAACAATATAATACATACACAAAGAATCACTGCTGTCTTTCCATATAAATTTAGTCACACGTAGAACACGTACACATTTTCCATAACGTATATTCAAAATTCATAAATGTTAGAATACAGCGCTCACACAGTTCATGAGCACAGCAGTTCGTGAGCACAGTGCTCACACTTTATTTGTCCCAGAAACCTTTGAAAGGTTTTAGAAAAGTCTTTTCTGGAATAGTTTTTAGGTGTTTTTGTTATCGTTATCTAGACCTCCTCTCCACAGACTTAAATCTTCCTGTATTTACATTTTTCTTCGAAAACAAACATTTTGCCAAAATCGGTTGAAAAGTGCAATCTGGCCTGGTGAACACGCCTGATTTATATCTATATGGCAATTGTTTCATACCTAAACTAATGAGGAATTTAAATATTACAATCAGTATTATATAATGTGTTTGTAATGTGATTGTATTATATAATGTGTTTTAACGACGTGTTTACAGATGGGACCATTCCAAAGATTTTTATATTTTACAAGGTACTGAATTGTATCCAAGAGAAGAAGTTGTCACCATTGCTATAACTGATGAGGAATTTGCATATTTAACGGGCCATGTCATTAATGGAAAAAATTTGTTTCCGTCTACGGGATATCTTTTCCTTCTTTGGGAAAGGATTGGCACATTGAGAAATCAAGAATACAGCGATGTACCAGTTGTATTTGAGGACATTACTTTTCATCGTGCTACGACACTATCAAAATATAATAATGTCGAATTGAATATTTCGATACAGAAAGGTATTATCGTTACATAAAAAGTAATTTCCCCATTTAAGTATTAAATTTAAAAAATATTTGTT